ATTATTTTGGATTTAAATTTCAAAGAAACAAAGATACACTTTCCAAAATTTGTATTTTCAAGATCTGTTACACTGTTGTATACAGGATGTAATTAGTCGAAAAGTAGAATGAGATTTAAAACTAGCTATTACTAGGTTTTACTGGGGTCTGTACCCCACAGAGCTTAGTCCGAGAACAAGGACAAGTCAAAGATTTCTAGCTAAGGCTGAGGAAGTGAACACAGCTAATAATAGACGAGTATTTTCGGAAGGACTAAAAATTACTGCAAATATATATATTCTTACAGAAAATCTACTACTAAATTCACTCAACTAACATTATTTAACTAATAGTAGCAGTATTTTTCTTGAGTAAACTTCTCGCATTAACCTCACAGCTTATTTCCTTCCACGTCTCAACTCAATGGCAAATATTAGAATTGTCAAACAATGACCTATAATAAGTGTTACGAAAACCGGCATCAAATCCTTCAATTTCATAAAGCGACCATCGTTTTCATTTATATCGATATCAGCGACAACATTTCCAGCTTTTGTTCTTAGGACATCCCTTTTCCACTTTACCATAAGGCCACCACTCACAATTTGATTAATGATGCCGTTTATTTTAGAGAACAATGGAAAGCCTTTTCTCATTAGAAAATTTTGTTCCAGGGATACGATATTCCCAAAACAGTGTAACAACTGATTATAATTTTTGGAGATATAGCTGTTGTAAATATAGTTTACGTACATTTCGGGCACGCAAAAAGCTGTGTCTCTACGAAATACAACGTTATCCATGCATTCACCATATTTTTTACATACAATCATTTTATCTAACACGTATTTGTATCTTTCATCTTGGAAATATCTAGCAGAATTAAGTATAAAGTAGGTTTTCAAATTATTCCTGTATATATCCTCCATGGTACCGTATTTTTCCTTAAACCGGGAACCAGCTAGGACACTAGTTAGAAAGCTCAGGTATGCTGAATTTAAAAAGAAACTGAAATAAACAATCAGTATAAATACGACCCTTATTTGAAATGTTCTTGGTTGGAGTACAGGAAAGCCCAAGAAAATGGAAAGAACGTATTGAGAAACGTTTTTGTAGTCTTGATATTGGTCTAATTCATTCTTCTTTACTCCGCTGACAAGCCAAAATATGTTTATTGTAACAAGATATAGCACAACCAAAAGCAGCCACGATGTAAGGTCTAAGATGCTCAAAAAATTTTGAGAGTTAATCAATACTGGGGTATGTGGTACACACCACACGAGTTTGTCTTGGATATAAGTGTTGCTACATTCAAAGTAATAGGCCCTTTCATAAGTTTTCACGTAGGAACCAACCGCTATATCAATTTTACCTTCTCTCAGCAGAAGCAAATTATCAGTAGCGGTTCCGTTGAGAAAAATTTCACCAACGCTTGATTCATAGTAAACCAACTCGAGATCTAAGTACTTCGCAATCACATTTAACAAGTTAATTTCTAAACCATACGTGTGGTGGTATTCTTCCCTGGCACCTGAATTATTTCTTACAATCATAATGAATGGGTCCACTTTTACAAAGCCCACTGATAGCGTGCAGTTTAAACGTTTAGGAATGTTATTCTTAAAGAAGTCATTGTTTTTTTGGTACACACCCATGGTACAGGAATCGATTTCTTCTATTTCGTTTACGTTCCTGAAACAGTTACCTTTTCTATAAGGTTTCGACACATACGCATCGTATATATTTCCGTTTTTAGAACTTGCAAGTAATACCACTGTATTTAGTAGTTGTTCTTCCCACAGGGTTTGAAGAATTCCATTGGCAACTTGAGCAGGGTTGTGAAACTTTATAGATGATATTACAAAAAATTTGGAATGCGGGTTCCAAAAATTCAGTGACTTTAACTTCTTTAAATGTGCTGAAATTTCCCCAATGCTTCTTATGATGATTATGTAGCATCTCGAAATTTTTTCCAGGGAATAGTGAGATATGGGTTCCTTGTATTTTATCATATTCGTTGTCAGTATAGTCCACTTCGTGTTATTTACTAGCCGCCACAATAACATTTGATTAATTGGAATTACAGAGTTGACATTTTTAGAAAAATCCGTTATAGCCGAAGCAACCGTAATAGTTTCTTTCGTTTCGACATACCTTTTGATGGCCGTGGAAACACATTCACATAAAGATATTTTAAAATTATTTATCTCTAGTGGTTCCAGTTTCGAAGCACATCTTGAAAGACATAAAGTTGATACAATAAGTATAGTCATCCGCATGATTTCCAGCAATAATCTAAAACAACTGCTAAAATGTTATTATAAAACGGCGCAGTCGTTTTAATGTTTACTCCTGTTCATAATGTCAGTTGTTGTCGATGGCAAGATAACGTATTTTAGTTCTTCCAGTACTTTAATCAGATATCCGTCAAACATTACTTGTATTGTACGTTTGTGTATTGCATATCTACTACTGTTCGAATTCACTGCTTTACTTCATTGGTTGTTACATGACTACGGGTAGAAAATAAACCTTTTAAAGCTACTCATAAATCTGAATGTCATTCAGCGCGAAGCATATTAATCAGAATTTTATTTGTATTATTACATTCCGTCGCCTTTGTCGATATCAGATTTAGAAAAAACATTTAAGATATGTAAGTACTGGAAAATAACAATTGACTGTTAAATGAACAAGAAAAAGATACCTATAAACTATTTTATATTCAATATTGTATTGCACGTAAATAAAAAATTTAAATCTCAAACGAACATATTTATTCTTTCATAATTAATAATTGTTAAAGCGATAAACACTACACAACAGCTCATGATATTACGCAAATGCATATGGATAAACAACCAATTTATAAATAGAATCATAAACAAGTATAGAAGGTAACTGCAGGTCTGTAATAACGTAATATTTACCAACAGTATGAATTAAAAATTAGAATTTCGTACTTGGGATTTGGGTCCTTGGAATAACGAGCAGAGCTTTCGAGAACAAGTTTATTACGTGCTTGATACAGACTGGCGCACGTGAAGCACACAGTTGGTTTTATAACTGCGATGTGCTTCCGTTGCATTTTTTTTTGATAAAATAATACAAAAGCTACGTTACTTATACTACGTGATAAAACATAATGGGAAGCAAAAATAGAAAAAGCATGAGATATTAAATCAATCACATGATTTTAGTCTTCAAAATCTAACTGTAATGTTGATTTACTTTGGTCCCCTTTTCAATTTTGCGATACCAAAATCAATCAGTATCACGAAGGTAATTCCAATTTTTTGTAATCCTGTTTTTTATTTTCAGTAGAGGTGGCAGTAGTCAAATCAGTGGGTCACTTTCAAATGGACGCTCCCAATCAAAAACAGTCAGTGAAAACACTGACAGCACACAATATTTTTAAAATGTTTTTTAAATGATTTAAAAAATGTTTACGATATTTTGAATGTTACTATGTGAGCAAAATATCTCATTTCATGTAAAAAATAATATTTAAAAAATGTACAAAAAAAGTATTTTATAAATTAATTAATTTATAAAAATTAATTAATCTAGATAAATAGATCAAAGAACAGAACCTACTTGTTTATACAGGGTGTCTCACGGTGACAGTCCATTAGAATTATTTCAGAGACTACTTCGATTTGAATTTTGAAAATTTGGGATAAAATAAGCAAGTTGATGCCGACTTCCGGTATAATCGGAAGTGGTACGTGGACGCCATTAATTTAGTTGAGAAGGGCATGCCCGACAACGCGGTACTTATCCTGACCATAAATTCAGTTGTCAACAAATGGCCTAGCAGTGCAGTGCAGCAATGCGGAATTTGGTGTGAATCAAGTAATTTTAATTTATTATAGGCACCTTCTATTAGTCATTAATATTGTAACTGCTTAAGGGCGAATGAAGAGGGATATTTTGTTTACTAACATTATTACAACATGGCATTTTGAAACGGAACAAAACGAAATTTACCATCAATATAATGTATTGTTTGAAGACAAATAATTAAAATATGTTGTAGGTCAAATGAACATTACAATAAAAATTTTCTACACATTATAAACAAATTACTATAATTTTTTACCTGTAACAGAAAACTATGAAACTCATTAAATTTTATTGCTAGGCGTTTTTATACATATTCAACTGATTTCGGAAAGACTATACCAGCATTATTTTAGGGTTTATAGAATACTCTGCCATTTTAATCAAAGATAAGTAAAGGTTTGATGGTAGGTCTTACAAGTTATACTTATGTAAGCAATAAAATGCGCCAAACCGTCGATATATTTTTCAAAAGTAGGCCTGAATCGAATATCAAATTTATTCAAAGTAAATGTTGCAAAATAATTTCTTATACCTAATTTGGTTTACTGAGAATATAATCGCATTTATCTATATTTGTATCTACAATAAACAATTAATTTGGAAATTGACATTATTTATAAATATTCGTCCTTAAATGCCCCTAAAAAAAATTGAAATATTAAAAACGAAGGACTTTTTGGTTTGTGAAAAAGAACTGGACGCTAAAGTTAAATATTGCCATAATACCCCCATACCCTCTTTTTTGTATTTAAATGTATCAATATTAGAAATATTACAAATTTACATGATTTTTATTTAAAAACTTTGCCGAAAATAGAATTATCTTTTATTGAGGAATTTGGGTGTATGAATGAAATAAATTTTGATTCAACCAGCATATAAATATGTATCTCATATAAATTTAAATAACTTTTCGTCTAATTTAATCCAAATTAGTTTCGAATATTGTTGGTAATTTACTCCAAAATTAATGCAATTAGAAATCGTAAATATTCTTAATACCGCCCTGGTTTTAGCCACTTCTCCACGATCTCAAATAATCTTATCTTAAAGTAAATGGTCAAAAATCATAGATACTGTAGATGTACATGATTGTTATCAAAATACATGTTATAATTTGCTCGTAAGTATACAAATTACATAAGTATTAGGTAATTCGTTCAATAAATTTCAATATGTCGATTGATAATCAACCAGAGGTTAATATCGACGTAATCCAGAGTTTATATTATTGAACTGTAACCGTAGTAATAGATAAATCTATACGAAATTGTTATATATTCAAAATATATATTTAGTGTTTCTTTTGCAGATTGCAAGGATGGCCCTGAATAATGCGAAATCTGTGATATTTGGAATAACAAAGAATAATAAAAATGGCTTTAAATGTATCCTTCTTATAAGAAGTTCTATAGAACAAAGTATATTAAATTTTTAGTGTAGATCCTTAATGATAAATTTAGGTTTATTTTCGGCGAAGAAATCTGACCGCGGTAAGTTTAAGGTAATTATATACATAACCTAGAATTATTATCTACAGAACAGGGTCGTAGCAAGGAGTTAGGGTTGCCTGAACCCGAAAATGAAAAATGTTTAAAAATTTGACAACATAAACTAGGTTTATTTACGCAGCCTGTCTAAATAAATAAATATTCAATCTTGAACCCTGTGTATTTGTTAAATTCATAAAGAAACATTAATTTCGAAATTAATGATAAACTCAAATTTTAATTAAATATAATTTATGTCCCTTTATTTGGTAAAATAGCTTACTTTGTTAGTAAATCAGCGTATCTGCATATTACTTGCTGTTTTTACTTTGAATTTCTTAAATTAATATTTTTAAAAAATGCTTAGAGTAATCGCATTAAATTTAAATTTCAATATACAGTGTTAAAAAAAGTACGACAACCGAGTTCAACGTTCGTTGTCGTATCAAGTCTTATAAAAATAGCCGAAATGTATAGGCTCTCCATTTTCCTGGCCATTGCCACTCTTGTAATTATAGAATGCCCGGACCACCTCTATTCGACGCAGAAAGGTCCAACCTACACAACGACACCATAATCACACCGATCGGAGCTCCCCTGCGCCCAGCGGTGACGGCCGAACATTTGTTACAATAAAAGTTTATATACTCACATATATTTTTCGAACATCTAATAACAGTAAAAGATCGTTTTCGTACACTCAGTTTTAAGGTCTTATATATTGAATATGTTGACTACCTAGAGAGTGAATTAAAAAAGTTTTGGCGTTAAAAAATTAAACAAATGGATAAAGAACATGATAACAAAAGGTCTATTTAATGCAGTGATTCAACTAAGAAGCGATATGGTTTTAGATAATCACAATGCACAAAGTGCAGCATCAAGATATAATAGGATTCTCACTTGTATTTGTGATTGACAAGTACATTTCTTTACTTTCAGTTGCATTTAACTGGCAGGATCCGTTGAACTTGGAATCTCAGTTAAAAGAGGAAGAAAAATTAATTAGAGACCAATTTAGAGGATACTGCCAGCAGAAACTCCTTCCAAGAGTAATCGAAGCAAATCGAAATGAAGGTAAATATTTTAAAGTTGACTTATGTAAATAGTTCAGGGGAATATCATATTTTCTAGTCTTTATGTCACGTATGTGTATAAATATTTCACCAAAGATTATTTATCGATTTAGTAAAACATAAGCGCAAATAAGTAATTACATATGCTATGTAATTTCCTATACCTACATATTTTTCTAGTGTTCCATAAGGAAATTATGACGGAAGTGGGCCAATTAGGAATTCTTGGATGCACGATAAAGGAATACGGCTGTTCTGGAGTATCAAATGTTGCATATGGATTGCTTACTAGAGAAGTTGAACGAATCGACAGTGCTTACAGATCAGCTATTAGCGTACAGTCTTNAGGCTCTCCATTTTCCTGGCCATTGCCACTCTTGTAATTATAGAATGCCCGGACCACCTCTATTCGACGCAGAAAGGTCCAACCTACACAACGACACCATAATCACACCGATCGGAGCTCCCCTGCGCCCAGCGGTGACGGCCGAACATTTGTTACAATAAAAGTTTATATACTCACATATATTTTTCGAACATCTAATAACAGTAAAAGATCGTTTTCGTACACTCAGTTTTAAGGTCTTATATATTGAATATGTTGACTACCTAGAGAGTGAATTAAAAAAGTTTTGGCGTTAAAAAATTAAACAAATGGATAAAGAACATGATAACAAAAGGTCTATTTAATGCAGTGATTCAACTAAGAAGCGATATGGTTTTAGATAATCACAATGCACAAAGTGCAGCATCAAGATATAATAGGATTCTCACTTGTATTTGTGATTGACAAGTACATTTCTTTACTTTCAGTTGCATTTAACTGGCAGGATCCGTTGAACTTGGAATCTCAGTTAAAAGAGGAAGAAAAATTAATTAGAGACCAATTTAGAGGATACTGCCAGCAGAAACTCCTTCCAAGAGTAATCGAAGCAAATCGAAATGAAGGTAAATATTTTAAAGTTGACTTATGTAAATAGTTCAGGGGAATATCATATTTTCTAGTCTTTATGTCACGTATGTGTATAAATATTTCACCAAAGATTATTTATCGATTTAGTAAAACATAAGCGCAAATAAGTAATTACATATGCTATGTAATTTCCTATACCTACATATTTTTCTAGTGTTCCATAAGGAAATTATGACGGAAGTGGGCCAATTAGGAATTCTTGGATGCACGATAAAGGAATACGGCTGTTCTGGAGTATCAAATGTTGCATATGGATTGCTTACTAGAGAAGTTGAACGAATCGACAGTGCTTACAGATCAGCTATTAGCGTACAGTCTTCTTTAGCCATGGGAGCCATATATAAATATGGAAGCCCTGAACAAAAGCAGCAATATCTCCCTCTTTTAGGTAAGTAACAAATTTATATGTAAATATATACTGGCTGATGAACTCATGATGAACGTTAGCAAGTTTTTAAAAACACAGCTCTAGAGAACCATGTAAATTCAAAACCACATGTTAATAGGTAACGTAAACCAAATATACACCATTTTCTAATAGAACATGCTTAATCTTGCTGATGTAAATGGTAAAAATGTGTACGCTTTATGTTTTCCTAAAGTTCTTTTCATTCAAAAGATAGGAGAGAATAAACTGATACCTTTTCGTTAACTTTTTGTCACCATTAGGGAAAAATCTAGCTGCATTTTTGGACAACTGTGTGTTCATAACAATGGGTAACAAACAGGCCTTATTGTCAGTGAAAGGTTTGGTATGTATCGGTAAAAATGTTTACCGGTCTAGCCCATTAAGAACATTTTTACCAAGATAGGGTGATTACTGTTAAACAGTATTTACGGTTCAAGATATCATAAAAGAACTTACCTTGCTTTCCTAGATAACTTGCTATCCCACCTAATTTATTTAGAAAAACAATTTTTTAGCGAAGGGGCAAATTATTGGATGTTTCGGCTTAACAGAACCTAACCATGGCAGTGATCCTAGCTCTATGGAAACACGGGCAAAATATGATGCGTCTTCTAAGACCTATGTCCTAAATGGTAATAAGACATGGTAAGTAAAAATGTTTATCACTCACAAGAGCACATTCTGGAGGTATAACAAAGAATATATGTTATTACTGGCAAAAAAAAATTGTAGAATTTATCAATGCTTTATTAATACAGTAGTGAAAGTTACTCTAGTGTGCTTTGTTTATACATTTGTTTACTTATTTGTTTCATGATGCTTCTAGAATGTTCCATTTATTCCTAGGTATAATGTTCTTTCTTAGAAGCCTATGAAAATTTCCGGAAATAACAAAAATTTAAACGACCGCGCCAATGCGCCGAAAGAGTTTTAAGGTTAAGTTAAAACTTTAAGGGTTTTTTGGCGAGAAAACCGCTAACCCGGTTAACTATAGTTTGTTGAGGTTTGACGTTTTGGCGAGAAATGTAGTTAACCCGGTTTGGCAGAGTTTGCCTAACCATCAAACCGGACTTGTGGGTTGGTTTGGATATTAAGTTAATATTTCTATCTTTGTTTATTTATTTTCTGTTTCGTACCATCGTACCTAGTCACTACTTCGTTTTTTTAGAGGTTTGGATAGGTATAAGTTGTAAATAAAAAAAATTGATAATGGATTAACTTTGCAAAAAATACAAAGTAAATATTTAAAATTGATAATAAAAAAATAGTAATCGAGGATCCAAATAACTTTAATCGTAGATATGCATATTCTATATTGTACTGTATAGATCTTTATTAACTTCCTTTTTGACGATACATTTACGTGGGAATAGATATTTGTGAAAAGGTAAACCCATTTTGATTTAATAACCATCTATACATTAACGTTATTTCATGGATGTGCATTTCAGATTAGGAATAACAATTATAGTATNTGGAACAATCGAAACATCTGCGCACTCGCTCGAGTAGTGCAGGTATTAGTAACGCTGTGGCCACTGTCATTCGTATCCGAATAATCGAATGATTCTATATGACCACTCGAGATATCTCGAGAGATTTTCATAATCGATATAATCGATAATTTTCATTCGAGTAGTCCCATCACTAGTTTTAAGGTTAAGTTAAAACTTTGTTATTGTGAAATTCAAAGTTCAAAGTTGAAACAAAGTTTGTATTGATTTCATTTTTATATGTGATTGCTTGTATTTATACAGGGTGTACCGAAATGAACCTGCAATATCTTACCTGTGCATTTTATGATTCAAAATAAGAGAAAATGTACTAAATTCGATATTCATAATCATAATTTCTAAATTTTTGTGAGGGTGTCCCAAACTGTGAAAATTGAACTTAATTTTTGACTTTAACTTTTTCGAGTGATATTATCCATTGTTTGATCTATAAACTTTTTCTGTAGTTGACAATTTTCTAAGAACTTAATATAAAATGATACCAAAATGACATTTTAGGATAACCAGCTCACCGATAGCAGATGTTCTTATAATATGGGCAAAATGTGATGATTCAAAGGTTAGAGGTTTCATAATTAACAGGAAAGAGCACGGAAAGGGTCTAGAAACCCCAGTAATAAAAGGGAAATTTTCTTTAAGAGCTTCCCCCACAGGTATGATCTTAATGGATAATGTTAAAGTACCAGAAGATCATCTGTTGCCTAACGCGGAAGGACTCAAGGGACCCTTTCAGTGTCTGAATGACGCAAGGTATGGGATAGCTTGGGGGTCACTAGGTGCTGCTGAAAGTTGTTTAGAGATATCGAGGAACTATACTTTGGAAAGAATGCAGTTTAAGAAACCACTCGCAGCAAATCAACTGATTCAGAAAAAGTTGGCTGATATGATCACTGAAATTTCATTAGGATTACTTGGGTGTTTGCAAGTTGGAAGGCTAAAAGACGAAAATTTGTAAGTGCCTACTATATTTTTTTTATATCTTGCAATGGCACAAAAAGATTATCTTTAGCCAATATCATGAAGTCTGAAGTACCAACAAATAAATAGTGAGGTTAAGTTATTTGTTCGCATGTTTACTTCAATGTGTTTTTACGAAGAGCAGTACTTGAACTGGCAAAATAGGATTGCAATTTCCATGTTATCTAATTAAAAAAATTACAATTCGTAACAAGAAAATGTATTCATTTGCTGTTTAATTTTATGACATAAATTATTTATACGTCATACATGTATTTACTTTTCAAATGTTTTTAAGTGTCTGTAAATGGATTTTCTGCTGTGTGAATAGAAAATAATTAGTTCATTCATTAATAAAACTTAAAAAAAAAACTAAAACTACTTTTAGGCACACACCAGAAATGATTTCACTACTAAAGAGAAACAACTGTGGAAAAGCTTTAGAAATAGCACGAAACGCAAGGGATATGTTGGGAGGGAATGGCATTCAGGATGAATATCATGTTATCAGACATGTTATGAATTTAGAATCCGTTAATACTTATGAAGGTAATAGTCATTTGTACAGCACCAGTTTCAATATTTTCAGAGGTTTGTCATATCTGCTGAAGAGATAGGGAAAAAGTAGGAAACCGCATCCCATCTTGATGTTATTTAAAGGCATATTTCATCTTTGGTCGTTGGCAATCGCATTTTTGTAAACATGTTTTATATTAATTTTTTTTGCTTTTATTTATTTATTTTTTAATGGGACGCCCTACTCATATTTTTCTATTTTTCATACATGATATTTATTCAGACTATTTTTGAAATTATAAATGCCAAAATTGTTTTTTTATAAATCAATAATTATTTTATCGTTTAAAAAAACAAAATCGCGGCATTGTATTATCGAACAATTGAGCTACAAAAACAAAATAATTTATAATGTATGTTTTTTTTTGTATAAATGTCATACATGTCACATTCTATGTAAAAATTAAAACCTCTACAAAAATAAAAAAATTGCAAATAGAAAATTATTCGGTATTACAAAAAAACAGTCAAAAATAAAAAATGACCTATATTTTATCAAATTGAGATGTGATGTAGTTTTCGAAATGTAATTTTGCAATTTTTCTCAAAAAATCCAAATTAGAATACCTTAGTTATTTTCTGCCCATCTCATAAGAAGATATGAGCAGCCCTAGCAGCAAGTGTTGAAACTGATCCACTCTACTTAAAAAAATAAGATTTAAGGAGGTTTATCGGGTACGTCTAAGGTCAAATGAGAGTTTCTGTAGATTCGCTAGTGACTAAAGTAGTAAGCCTTTAGATTTGGCAACGTTGCACTTGGCTGGCGCGCTCTGTTTGGCGTTCGCTCACTAGCGTTCGATCATTCTGTTTGTTTGGATGCCTAAGCTGGAAATATACATCATATGTCACACCTGCGAATTTCAAATAATACGCTACGTCGAGAACCGCTATCACGCATAATGGAGGTTAAGTTAGTCAGCGACAACAGTTTGAAGGAGAATTATTATAAATTATGTATCTTACTGATGAGGTACTTCATCGATTTCTAGGAGCTATCATACGGTTCCTTAGATATCAGATTCCTATTTATACAAGTTGCTGTGGAAACTGTTCATTAATTGTTGCGCATTCTAAGTGGAAAGACCAAAAAAAATCTGCATTCTCATAAGACTGTACTAAATCGTAAAAAATTATTTTATTAATATCTCGTCTCTTAGGTATCTAAACTAGTCATAATTTTTTTTTGAGGATTTTCTTCATATTAATAAGCTTATGTTAATTTTTTTATTAATATTTGTTTGTCATTTCCATATCAGATAAACCTCCTTAAATGTAATTTTATGAAAATTTGTTTCAGGTACCCATGATATTCATGCTCTAACATTAGGAAGGGCTATAACTGGAATTGCTGCATTTTAATTATTAAAAAGTATAATTGATTTTTAAACATGTATATTTTTTATAACTGCAATAACAAAAAAAATGTAATGTATTTGAGATACAAATATATTTTCAATATATAGTGGCAATCGAAATAGTTTTTTAACTTCCCTGTAACATTCAAAATACTGCTACACGCAGAACTTAAAAAAAAATCATTTACTTTTATAAAAATGTGATATAATAAACATTAGAAATAAAGCAATGCATTATTCCATATTAATATTTTGGTAGTATAATTAATAGTAATTATACAGGGCGAGGGCGTTCAAATTAGCCAGCATCTTACCAGGGCATTCTATAATTAAAAATAATACAAAATCTATGTGAATCTAGGAGGCTAGTCTCAAAAGTTGAAGTCTGAAAGTTGCTCTTTTTTTCTAGATATCTTCAAAACCATTCTAGATAAAAAATTGAAATTGGAAATTGAACATTACTATTAGGATTTGAGTCTAGCAAGGGGAAAATAATTTTTATATTTTACTCAGAGGCGTCTCAAGTTGGGGAATTTTTTATGCAAGGACATTCACACTTTTTCACCCAAAAGTTTTAAATTTTTTATTAATTTTTCATTATATTTAGAAATTTTGTGTGAAAATTTATTGAATTTGATGATAACAGTGTTGTATAAAATAGGTTTGATATTAGTGCCATTATTCTAATATTTCTAAAATTTAGAATAATAGCTACTTACAAAACTAAAGTTAAGGAAAACCAGTAAAATAGGATTACTAGAAGACAACATTTGACGAGACGTACCTAACTAAATTGTTTTTCATTCTCCAATTACAAAATAAAAAAAGATATTGTCTATTTCCCTAAACAGTCAGTACAGTGAAAATTGCTTGTAACGACATTGCTTTATGTGACATATTGGATATAACGACGGAATCTGGAAGTCCCGATTTAATCCTATAGAAATACTGTATTCAAAAAAAACATCACTTACTTCAACACCGTTTACAACGACATTTCGGATTTAGCGATGCGTTTTTATATACATTTACCATTGAATCTGTCGGTTATAACGACCAATACGGCTTTAAAACAAATGCACCGCTCTTCCGCCCGCCCCGCCGGCATCCACACTTTTGACACCAGTTTGGGACAAATTATGACTTATCTATGCATACAGTTATTTTATATGTATTAATTACTACTTTCTATCACGATGTCGAAGAGAAAAGTGTTTCATAAAGAAGAAAAATCACATACAAAGTGTTTGTAAATAAGTTCGAAATATTTTATCGGGTGGTTGCCGAAGTTATTTTATGAAAAAAAGTTCATATAAACGCAGGTCCATGTATGCTTCGTTTCCGAGATACAGAGTGCTTAAATTTTTCATTTTTTCTATAAAAAAATTTAAAATAAATGTAATTGCTTATTACCTTTATCGGTTATAACAACCGTAAACAAACGGTCCCATAGAGGTCGTTATAACCGATTTTCACTGTATTTATATTGTAAATTATTATTCATAATGATTAATTTCAAAAGCTTTTATAGCTTTTTGTCGAATAAACTGTTAATTTTTTTCAGAGCGTTTAAAAACATTCAAAAATTCCATTTTACTTAATTATTTCAGTGTAACGTAATTTTCAAATAAAATTTACTCGAAAACAATATTTATACACAACCTCCTCAGTCTAAGACGCCACTGATATAAATTTAAAATTTAGTTTTTAAATATTAATTTCCAAAATAGCCGTTATTTTAATTGTAGAATGCAACGACAAAATATTTCACTTATTATAATTTCTTCCAATAGAAAAAAAACTAAAAAAACAAATTAAACTCGAATCTTTTTTCATTTCTAAGAAACAATAAAATGACATTATTTGTACCATGTTTATGTAACCAATCCCAACCTACAAAACCCATATTTACATCACGTGGGACAGGATACCTGAGGTATATTCCTTAATTTATTTTAGAAACAGGTAAATTTCATAATATACTCACAAACTAGTCAGGTACGTAAAAAAACAAATCAGTCGGATTCACTACTCGTGCCGTAATCTCCTACCAAAGAAACGCTCAACTTAGGCTTTTTCTCACTCGCATTCGAACTAATATCTGTAGAATTTCTTTTATGGACAATTCCCAAGTCCGATTTGGACTTGCTTAATATTCGAACGGCTTTTTCTTCTTTACTCCTTGAAAAATTACAGGTAGGTAGAGATGACTGTGAAATTATTTTATTCCTAACGGATTCTGTGTTTTCTAAAATACTCTTTGAAGGTTTTAGCTTCATACTAAGCAAAGAAGCCATTTTCTTATCTTCCTCCCTTTCTGCCAATAACGGAATAGCCAAACTCGATTTTTTTAAAAGTTTGTTATCACGAGCAACTGTATCTTTTAATTCGTTATTCCTTTTCTGTAAAAAAAGACATCGTTATCAATAGAACATTATGTATGCTTAACAAAATTTTGGAAAAAAACTGTTCCATACTTACTCTGAATTCCGCCCTCAATTTTTGATTCGCAGTGTAAGAATCCGCCCAAAGGTCTTCATTTCGATTAAACAGTTGCGCAAGCCTTGGTTTCGAACTATCGGCTAAGTTTTTATCCTCACTACCATGTTCAAGTTTATACATGGAATCGTCAAATAGTCTTTTCTGGGTTTCCTTGGTTTCAGGTACAATCTGTTCATTTTGAGTCGGGTCCCATCTATTTTCCTGTCTCCTTGCACCCGACTGTATAACGTAATCCAAATTCTAAACAAATTAATGATTATAACTCGTTGCTAAAATATATATACATGTTTGTACTTACTGCTGGATCAGCACGAATAACAAAGTGATTGTCGCAAAGATGGCATTTCATCTTAAATTCATAAATCGGAGTAGTATAGTACATTCCAACTTTAGTTTTCTCTGCATTGTACCTGACACCCATACCGATATGATTTTTACACCCTTCGCACCAAATATTGTAGGGCATTTCAAAGCGGATGATGATTATGCCCTTATCTATTTTCCGGGCTCTTTCTCTCAAGGCATGGGTGCCCAGAAACTTATTCAACCCCCCAACTTTTGGGTCATAATCAGGGGGGTAATATTTATTTACACCTTTTCTTTCCCCCATCTTTGCTGATTATATTTCACAATATATTTGTAGAAGTAGGCACTATATAGATAAGTGATATGGATTTAAGAATTTTTATGGAACAGTGAAGTAAACTAACGCCGCTTAATTGTTACTTGTAATTTGTAGCAACTAGCAACACAAAACGGCTGTCACTTATTTTGTCACCCTTCTTATGTTTGTTTACTGTTTACTTTTTGGAAGGGGGAAAATAACCACAAATTAAAACAGAAAATGGGTACCTATATAGGTATATAAACTCAAGAGTGTTTAAAATATCCTTGGTTTGGTATTAACTTTAATAAAAAAATTGGTTCAATAATGGCCAATTTAATTTTATATAGTACATAAACGTATATATTTTTCTGCAGAAATACAAAAATATATTTTGGATAGAGGCCGATAGCTTGAAAAAGAAGAAGTGGAAGAAGTCAGTTTATTTTGGAATTTGATGTTTTGTTTATTAAATTGTGAGGTTATAAAAGCAGCGAAACTTGAACTTTTCTTTGTAAATTTGTAACAAATTTATAATGCCATAAAAAAATATTAATTTTGACATTATAAAATTGATTACTTTAGTTTAGAATGCCTAGTGGTACCAGAAGAATAGCGCGCACAGTGCGTACGAACACTATTACACCTCCTGTAATCTCTAATTTTGCAAATGAACCTTGTGGCCAAAGATATGCCCCTCTTGGAGCTGCTGTTCCGACTCTCCCAGCCTTAGAGCAGCCAGCAGCTCCTAAACATTTTCCGTTTCCAAGCACTCCAGTTGACGATGATTTCTTTTTCGAATTTCTTATGTGCTTTTTCACGGTTATATCGGCTGGACTGCAGTATCTCCACTTATACCGGTCTGTTTGGTGGCTTCCACATTCATACACCAACCATGCTCTGGTAAGTATGGTTGTTAATCTATTAACGATTATAGCTTAAAGTTGTTTGTTTTAGAACTTTTATTTAATTGACAAATACTTAGTTATATTCGTTGTCATTGTATTATCTCGGAGACTGATTTACATGCTTGGCTGCAAATTGTTAAGCAGGTTTATTTCAAGTAAAGGACAAGAGACTGGGCAGTTTTACTTAATGTAAGTCCACCAATGCAAGATTGCTTATTTATTTTGGCAACTCTGTAACTGACGTTTAATTTCTAGGTCATTTTTCTTTGGCAGTATATGTGTGACCCTTTCAATATGTGCGTATTTCGTTATGCAGAACCATCCAGTTGTGAACATACTGTACTTGTGTTACCCGTAAGTATAAAATTGTCACGAACGGATATATCGAACTCAACAACAAATTTTCAGCGTCTTCATTTACATAATTCTTTTTGGCTTCAACGTATGTCCATTTTTCGAACTAGTGAATTGCACTACACGGGCACCGCCTCCGCTTCATGCTTGTAGTTGTAATGCTAACGATATCAGGAGGGAAGTGGAGAACCTTAAAACAAACTTTAATAACCGAATGAAGCAGATCCTGTTCAGTGCCATTTTAAACGCCTACTACGCTGGATTCATTCCTTGCTGTTTTGCACAGGTACGACTATTTACATTATCGGAATAATTTTTTTTATAGACCCCCTTTTTTCTTTTTAGTCTGCCCTTCACTATGACACGTTTTGGGCGACTCAGCACGTGATGTTTATTTTTATAAGTGGATTTGTGTCACTGACCATCCACATTCTCTCCCTGCGTTACTGTGATATACTGCACCGATCAGCCTTGCATTTGGGAACTTGGGAGAAACTAGAAACGGGACGGACCATGTTGCTCGTGAATAATACTTGGAAGGACGATGTTTTATGGCCGTACGGCGCGCTTGTTAGGTACGGAAGGGACATTTGGAGAGCCCAAGGCGATTGCAACAGCAGCGAGCCTGGAAATGTGGGTCTGAAACGGTTCTATGTAAGTATGTAGTATATAAATAGTTTTTAAATCCATCGTATTCAACACTTTTTGAGGATCAACAAAATGTTACTGATTACTGTTTAAAATCATTTTCAGGGTGATACATTTTTAACAGAGCCTTTTTTTACTGTAATTCCTCCAATTTGTTTTTGTAATGACAGTTTTCTTTGAGAAAAAGACATTTCCGTTTTATCGTATTAAACAAAAATAACGCTATATAAAAATTAATGTGTTGTTTTCTTGTGGGCCAATTTAGATACTTTTGAAGGGTTTCTTGTGTTTCCCGAGGAGATAGACAAAAACTTGCTAGGCTGTCACGAGCTTGATTCTCTTCAAAAGAGCATTTTTATTCTCTGATCGATTTTTATTGTGTCAAACATCTTTGTTTGTGAAGACTTAAATACGAGAAACCAGCCAATAATCTCGAAACTGGCCCGCTCGGTGTATAAATTAGTCACCAAACCTGTTTTCAGTATATTTTCAAGAATCCGACAGATCCGCTTAGTCTCATCCTTCTTCTTCACGTGTTCATGGTCTTGTACCAGCTAGTCCTGTTGGTACGCAGTACTCTTTGGCATAATATAGTGTCGTTGACTTTCATTTTATTTTTTAACTATTACGTACTTTACAAATTGTTCAGAGATTATCTGGTAAGTAGCAAATTGTACATGGAAGAACGAGAAATGCACAAAAAAATTAACATGCGATGAAACGATTCTTGTACCACCGTAATTGAATTGTGATACGTTTTAAGGGTACGATTATTACTCTAATGACTATTTTGCTTTGTAGAAACGTATTTATTAATAAATAAATGTAATAAACGTCGTCTTTAATTTATATTCCTTTTAGAATTGAGAAATTCTTTTGTATACTTATCCCATTAATTTGACGGTTAAACTTTGCTGTAAAGGAAATTAAATGTAATAACTGTAGAGGTTTTATTTGCACAAATATGATACATTAATTACAAGGAACAAAAATATATATTAATTATCTGTAAGCGCCCAGGACTTGTCTTCCATACTAAGGATAATAGCCTGCTCGATTTTTTCGTGAAGCCAGATGAGCATCTCCTTCTGACCGGTGATTTTTATCTGTTGCACATGACCCGAAGCCTCATTCTGTAAAAAGATCAGAGGTTCAGACGATGCAAACAGAATCTGTAATTTTTTTTATGTGTAAGGTATACCAGGGACGAAATTTATAATCTTGGACGAGATACGGCTATTCGAAAGAGATAGTTACATACCTGTCTCATGTTCAATATTAGATCCACACAATTGATCTTTGGCATTGATATAATATCGTCCAAATCTACCACCCATTCTACTTCCCAGGGACCCCAGAGTCTGAATTTGTTAATCCTAATGACATGCCTGAAAATTGTAGGTAGGTTTGAGGTATCTAGAAATCACGTAATTGTAGTGATTTCTACATTACAGTCATGTTATGTTAAAATCTAGATCAAGACGCTAAATTCTTTTCTGCAGTTGAAATAATTAAAACAGAAGTTAGATTGTTAGTTACTCTGGATTTTAAGTCGTTTCTATGCAAAGAAAATCAATCTATATAATTATGTACAGGTCGATTCAAAATTCAGTACAAATAATTTAGAGGCGTATTTTTCAGGTCAAAATAAGACAAGCAGCATCAAAAGCAATGACATATTTAAATTTACCATCTTAAAACACCCCCGTACCCCAAGTTTTCAATATTCAAATCTGTTTGAAAATTATTCCTAAAAAATTGAAGAAAATAAAAAACTGACACGCTGTATATCGAAAACTAATTTGTGGACGTTTATAGGAAAATAATTCTCACTTTGACCTCAAAAATACGTCACTAAATTATTTGTACTGAATTTTGAATCACCCTACATATTATACGCGGGAGCGCAAATGGCTTCATTTGTCGTGCGGACTCCCAACTGTGCCATGCGCCATGGCTACAGTAGGAAGCGGCCTGTTATATTGCAGGTATTTGGTTGCACGACTGCCACCCACAGAGGGCGTAACACAAAGTTTGAGTTGTCAGTGTTACGAGAAACAACTACTCCGAGAGCTATATGCTCCTACCGGCTTTGAATTATACTATTTGTCGGTTGTCGCACCTGTGACACACTGATGTGGACTAATAAGTCCGAAACCGGTCTGTGCCTGGTGGGTAGACTGAACAAACGATCCTAGCTGTTGCGAGTATAATTCAAGGCCAGTAAGAGCATATAACTCTCGTAGTAGTTGTTTCTCGTAACACTGACAACTCAAACCCTATATATTATACATATAAACAATTAATCTGTGTTATATTATAGAACCTATTATTTATTCATCTCATATTATCTTGATATATGTATAATATTGGTTTTACAGTCAAAGAAATTTATGAATCTTTTAATCTGAATTAATTTTTCTGTGTAATAACCAAAATTGAGAACTCCTTGGACTCATATTTATTTTGTAAAGTATGTTCTTGATTCACAAAAGCTATTGGAATGGCTAGTTTTACAGAAATCTCTATTTATTATCCCATCAGAAATATTTTACTTGTAAATTGGTTCCCGGAAAGAATATATTCAAGTCCAGTCTTTATTAGAGCAATACAGTCTTGCTGTATTCTTGGTAAATAAATTTTATGATGGACGGTAATCGAACTTAGGTCGAAGCTGGTATTTGTACTCTTCAACCTATTAATGTACTTCACCATTTCTTTCCTCAAATGAGTGTGATAATTTTAGTTTATATTAGAGGTGTATTAAGGGGGCAAAACCACATTAGGAAGTTCAAGAAATCAGTTTTTTTTATTATATAAATTGTTAATATAACTATTCAAGAAGAATACACCAAAATTTCAAAACGAAATTCCTATTCTTTCCGATTTTATGAGCCTCAAACCGAACGCCTATCGGGTGAGCATTCGGGCGCATAAGAGGTAGGGCGGAGCGCTTGTTCAGGCAGTCTAGTCACTTATTAAGAGGGCTCTATAGCAAATAGGCAACTAGCAATACATTTTTATAGATTTTATTACACAGTTTGTCTAAATATGAATCAATGCATAAATAACATACTTTCCTCCATTCTAACTCAGATTTTCTATAAAATTGAGTTAGTTTGAAACTCATACTACTTTTTGCTGTGAAGAAATTTGTAATTTGCCACTTTTGAACAAGTGGCATCGAAATTACAAATTTCTTTACAAAAAAAAGTTATTTAAGTTTCAAACTAACTCTATTTTATAGAAAATCTGCGTTAAAATGGGGGAATGTCTGTTATTTGTGCGTTAATTCATATTTAGACAAACTGTGTAATAAAATCTATAAAAATGTATTGCTGGTTGCATATTTGCTATAGAGTCCTAAACAAGGAAGGAACAGATGCAAGTCCAGAAGAATGCCTTTGAGGAAGAAGAAGGACTGTTATATGGTGCTGAAATCGCTGATTGGTCGGAAATCACTCTATATTAATGGTAACTTTCTCAAATTTCTAGTTTTCAAAAAAATTCAAATACGTTTTTCTCGAAAGAACACTTTTTGGATTCACGGAAACTCTAGCTCAAAAAGTTATGAAAATTGAAAGTATGATGAAATTACAAAGAACATGAACCAACAATTGGGATGATATAATTTTAAGGGTGTTTTCTATCCAAAATGGTGAAAATCGAAACATTTTTTTCAAACACGTGTCAAAACATTGATTTTTAGAATTTTTACCCGCAATTAGGTTCATATTCGTAGAAAATATGTTAGAATGCAGAAAAACAACCATTTTGCTTTTAGATCAAAATTGCTACCTCCAAATTTCCCGTGAACAACTAACTCGGACGACGGCCTTCGGTGAACAACAAACAAACCATAACTACAGCATTTTCAACACAAATGACTTGAAAAATATGTAAATTTAGTTCAAAATTTTTGTAAAATAACGTCAAAGTCTGATCAAATTCTAGTCAATTTGTCCCACTCAAAAAAATTCATGAGAAACGCCTGAAAATCAGTTCCCTAATGTGGTTCCCCCCTTAAGCTACTTAAATTAATGTATTTAATATTATCCGTATTGACTATCAGTTTACTTACTCCAGAGATACAATTATAATAGATTTTCCTATTTTGTCGATAGCCGCGTGTGCCCAATACGTATCGTTAATAAATCTCGAATTCGCTATGGTTTCTAATAAGTGATGCCCCATGGACTCGTGTACAGAAATTGGTCTAAGACCCTGAAACAGGAAATAGAATCAGTCCGTTCCTAACCACCTTTCATTGTTACTCACTAGATATTTGTTACTATATCTCGTAAGCCTTTGATGGATCTTGATCGGTTCCCCCAATATAGACGCCCTTCTTAACGCCTCTCTCGCTACTTCTACACTGTCCGACTTTTCGTCGGGGTGTCGCGTGATCAGTGACAACAGCGCTTTGCCGGTTGTGCGGAAAAACATCTCGCCGTCGCAATTTATACCTGCTAAAGTAAAATAAGTGATTACATTTTTTTTAATCTTAGGACAATTCCGCAAAAGAATACAGTATGAGATGTATTTGCTGCTTACCATTTTGATTCTTAACAATAAGTTGGCTTAAGGCATTCGGTACCCCTGTAGTGAAGTTTCTACTAGAAATTGTTATTGTCTTTGGAACTATTTCGGATTTGTGGTAGGAGCCGTGGCGTCTTATCCTCTGTATATTTTCAATGTTTTGATTCGTGAATATGTCAACGACGCAAGCTTCGACCGCTGCCGGGGACATGTTGATGTGACCCAGTAGACATCTCGACCCGTACAGGAGGATGCTCGCCATTTTTTCAGACTCAAACTGCCCCACCTAAAATTTTATAAGCATTCGATATTAGGTTATCGATTTTTGTTCTTTTTTTGAGCACTGGAAAAAGAAATCATGAAAACTCCTATGTCTTTGTGCGTCAAACAGTCCACGGTTAAATAGTGTTCAATTATTATTTGAAATTCACAATTTTTTTTAAATTTCTTATTTCTTACCTCAATCGCTGGCTGAATAGCAAAGGTATTGACCAAAACTTGCAGCCCTAAAACGTGTGAATAATATTGCTGTAAAAACTGCGAAGCTATTTGGTCTAATAAAATAGATGTGGAGTTAAATAGATCCTCGTTCAGGTCTAGGTGCTCTATTGATGAAATTCTGAAAGAAATACATCCTTTAGATCAACCCAACGATTAAAAGTAAATTTTTACTTATGGTGCACTCCTTCTAAAGGCATGTATGGGGACATGTTGAAAGGGAACAGATAATCCAAGAATTTACTCATCTGTAACCTGTTACCACCTATACTCATTTGAATTTTGTTTGATATATTCAACTGGACACCGAAGCTGGTCAAGGTTAAATATTCTATCACAGTTCTTGGTAAATACTCTGAAACCTAAAATGAGATATTTGTAGTAGACCGATCGAAATAACTTGTTTAGAGGAGAAAAAAAAAAGGAAATTGTTACTTGGACTTTTATAAGTGGAAATGGTAAAGGGGCTTATAAAAAAATAAATGCGTGAGCAGGGGCGGCGGAGGGTTGATTTGGGAGGGTTGAAAAGTTATGAAAAATTGTATCATTGGGATTTCTCGCTAACGTCAAACAAAAAAGTATCCAATATAAAAGTTGTAGATCATGCAAAAATCTACAACTTTTGTAGAGGTCACTTTTTAACATAACCTCAAAATTTCCGAGAAAATGCGAAAAACATGTTTTTTTCTGATTTTTCATTTTTTATTTCTCATTTCCGCAAAAATAATTTAATTTTAACGAAACTTGGTGACAGTATACCTTTCTGTGTCTTAAATAACCACAAATTTTTTTAGATAAAAAAAATCTAGAAGTTTCCGAGATATTCATTTTTTCCGGTCTGAAAAACTTTTTTTTCAAAGAAAAATTTTACTTAGAAAAATCATCGTACAGAGTTCTGTCGGTGATAATTTTTTTTCGTTTTGACATACTTTTTGGTGAAACAAAAAAATCTATAATCACAGCTCAAAAACATGCTCAAAAATGCAAAAAAAAAATAAAAAATGACCTGGAACAATTAATTTTTTAGTAATTGTTGATAATTAGTTTAAATAAAAAAAATTCAAAAATTGATTACACCATTCAATTCTACGGAAAAAAATACAAAAAAAACTGTCTCATTGTTTGACCCAAAACTTTATTTTTGTACAATATTGCTACAAACATAAGTCGAATAGTGAATAAATAAAATAAATAATATTTTTTTTCTGTAGGATCAATTATTGTACTTATTTTTTTTTAATTTTTATAGTAGATATCCGGAAAAACCTGAAATTTTGCAAAATTGCATAATTTTTTTTCTGGCTTTATTTGAAAACGAATTTTAAAATAAATTACATATTTACAATGCCACTTTTTTCGCTCTACATCGGCGTCAACATTTTTGCAATCCGACGTTTCATCTTTTTTTTCTGAATACGGCTCTGGAACGCTTTCAAAATATCTATTGGATGAAGACATAACAGTATAAAAGTCAATACCGCACAAAATATCCAACAATTTTTTTTTACTACTATTAGCAATACTAATTAGAAATAATAAAATATTTCATAAATTCGTATTATTTTCTTATTAGGTACAACTTTTTAAATTATTGATTAAAAAAACTGTTGGATATTTTGTGCTGTATTGACTTTTATACTGTTATGACTTCCTCCAATAGATATTTTGAAAGCGTTCAGAGCTGTACTCAGGAAAAATTTTAAATGATAGCTAAAAACCTTTACAATATACATATATATTACAATAGTAATATCATCTAATTCAGAATTAAAAATGACTAGATTTTGTCATAAAAATAGCAGCGACATAATTAAAAAAATTAATCTGACGATGGCCCTTCGAAGACGAAACGTCAGATTGCAAAAATGTTGACGCCATTGGATAGAGCGAAAAAAGTGGCAATGTAAATATGCAATTTATTTTAAAATTCGTTTTCAAGTAAAGCCAGAAAGAAATTAAACGATTTTGCAAAATTTTGGGTTTTCGGATTTCGTGTTTTGCAGTTAATACTTTGTATTGCTGAAATCTCAAATGATGTTTAGAGCAATACTATACAAAAATAAAGTTTTGGGTCAAACAATGATATATTTTTTATTTTTTTTTTTTGTAGAATCGAATGGTTTAATCAGTTTTTGAATGTTTTTTAATTTAAACAAATTATCAACAATTACCGAAAAATTCATTGCTGCATCATTTTTTAATTTTTGTTGCATTTTTGAGCATGTCTGAACTGTGATTACAAATTTTTTTATTTCACCAAAAAGCGTATGTGAAAACAAAAAAGTGATTACCGGCAGAACTCTGTACGAATTTTTCTTTCAGGTCGAAAAAAATGAATATCTCAGGAACTTATTGATTTCTTTATCTAAAAAAATTTGTAGTAATTGAATACACAGAAAGGTATACTTTCACCAAGTTTCGTTAAAATTAAATTATTTTTGCGGAAATGAGAAATAAAAAACGAAAAATAAAAAAAAAACCTTTTTCGCATTTTTCTCGGAAATTTTGAGGTTATGTTAAAAAGTGACCTCTACAAATGTTGTAGATTTTTGCATGATTTACAACTTTTGTATTGGATACTTTTTTGTTTGATGTCAACTTTCGCCAGAAATCCCAATGATACAATTTTTCATAACTTTTCAACCCCCCAATCAACCCTCCACCGCCTCTGGTCACGCATTTATTTTTTTTTAGGTTTATTATAAGCCCTCTTAGCATTTCCACTTATAAAAGTCTAGATAACAACTTTTTTTTCTTCAAGTGTAATTTGATTGGACTAAGCCGATAAAAAATTTCGCTGTTTTGACAAATATGTGTTAAAAATGATTTTTCACTTACAGTTGATTTTGCCGTGACGGATTTGTGTATGGACGTAATGTCGGTGACAAAACAATTGGCCGGAGTCTCACAAAACTTCTTATTCCTAGCCACCAGCTGGCAAAGTTTTACGAACAAATCGTTTTCTATGTTCAAATACAGATTGCCCAACCTGAATTTGATATACCTGTAGATGTCGGCGTCTTTGGAGCATATCTTGGACATCACGACCTCAGCGAAAGGGGTGACTTCTTTAATATTTTGCGACGGTAAAGGATGGAACACTATGTTATTCGTATGCTTGTTGTCTATCTGCAGTGACTGTATCCTTAGATTGTAATACTGGTGGTTCACGGACTTTCTGAAATGGACGTAAACGGCAGGATGGTAAGTCCTCCGTAACTCCGCGAAGAACGGCTTTAACATAAACATCTTTTCGAAGTCTATGTGAACGTATTCCTTCAGTTGGCACTTTTTGTAGTGCAATCTATACTTGTCCTCTATCCATGAGGCTAGCTCTAACGTGAGCGTCTTCCATTTCTGACCAACGTTTACTTCCCAAATCGCCGGGGTGTCGCTTAGAGACATGTAAACATGTTCTTTGGTATCGTTTTCCGAAGTGAATATAGACAGCCCTATGCCGGATAAGGCCACAAGGCATTCGATATGGCAGCGCTCCTGGAAAGTGTTTTTCAGAACGTTATTGTAAATCCTAAGCTCTTGCGTGAGGAGTAGGGTTCTCTGCAAGCCATCTCGGTAGCAAAGCCAGTAGATTACGATTTTGTCTTTGTGGACCTTTTTGTTCAAATTCGGCTGGAGGCTGTCGGAACTGTCAGAGTCGTCGCTGCTGGAGGATTCCACAATGCTCGTTGTCGGAGTTACACTGTGGATTCGTATCTTTTTCTCGCCATATCTGGATCAATTAAAAAATTGGACTAAAATTAGAATAAAAGAAAAAGTCTCCCATAAGCAAGCCTTAAATATGAGCGTATGAAAAATCTATTTTCTAATAACAATGTTCAAACTTACCCGTCTTTAGTGATATCAACAGAGAAGCCAGAGCCCTTATTGTTGTAAACGTTCCATACTAGTTGCCTTGGCCTAGACGGATCGTCCCAAGTATACAACAACGAATTGTACGGACTGAGCAACGTCACCGGACTTAGATCTTGTTGCTGGATTTTCAAAAACAGATCGGCACAATAATTCTTCACCAGTACCGGCGTGTCGCCGGGTCTATACTCGTTGAAAGAGATTCTAAACGATTCCTTGATTCCCCCCGTAACTTCTACAGTGATTGCTCCCTAGAACCACAACTTTATTTATTTGTAAACGCGTATATATATGCATATTTACCCCTTTATCCATTCTTAGAACGGTCCTATGGTGGTTCGATATGAAAAATGCTTGTGAGATTAGCTTGCTGTCTCGGTACTTCACGTACATTTGCATGGATGACGTTTCGGGCCAAAATATCATGGTTTGGTAAGGCGCGATGTCTACCCACAGGTCTGTCTTTTCGTTGTGCTCCATAAACCTAAGAAATAATGTTGGATGTGAGTTTTGAAGTATTTTTTCATATTCAGCAAAAATTTAATACTTTTACGGGTATTATTCTATTTTACCTTAAAGGCTTGTCAGTGTTGTTGGTTACCAAGAAACTAGGTAGAAGCGTAACGATTTTAGTAAGCCTGGGACACATGTTGGACAGCTGAGTATGTAAGAAAAATAAATATTTCTTTTTCCTCTCGTTGTCCTTGCAAACTACCAGACCTGTCGTACCAGCACATTCCAAACCGAAATCATTGGACCAGTTCGACTCATAAACTCGAATGTTGAGGGTCTGTTTGCCGTGCCTCTTGTAGGTAAAGAGTAGGATGTCTTCATTGACGCTGTCGTAGAGTAAATTTGAAGCAGGTGCCTGAAAAACAAGTATATTGCTGAGGTAAACACAAGGTGCAGGTGATATGGACAGGAAGACAAGAAATTCATACATATCCTCTTTCACTGTTCTTGTTTAATAGTAAAAAGACCAAAAGTCCTGGAAACAACATTTCTGTCACCTCAGGACATTAGAGACTCCAGCAGACCTAGTACTTGCCTTCATACATAGCGCATGTCTATTTTAAACTCAGCATTAGCAGCATGCACGATAAGTTAAAATACTAAAGTGATACAGAAGACTGCATCACATTTTACATCAACTATCTTGGGTTCTATTAGTTATTAGTTATTTTATGCAAGGATTTTAATTTAGATGAAATAAAAAATATTTTCCACGAAAAAAATCGCGATCAAAAATTTTAAAGATGAAGCACCTCTATCTTACCTTTATTTGTAATGGTAATCCAGTTTTATTGACAATCCAGTACGGGGTGTAGAAGAACAGATTACAGCTGCCCTCTCTGTCGCTCTTAACATTTATAGGCATATTCTTGGTGTCTTCCTTGTTCTCAGAGTTCAATATAACGATTTTCTCGTCCAGGTGTTTGGTTAAATTTAAATTTCCAGACCACGTTACCGAATTGTGCTTCACCCTTATCAGAAGTTTCTGATCCTTCGAGAAATCTAGCGAGTAAACGCTATTCTGTTCCCCAGGTTCCACTTTAATGACTTGTTTGAGACTGACGTTCAATACTTCCACGCTGTAGGGTAGGAAGTTGTGGATTATCAGGGGTGGAAGGAGGTGGACTACGTAATTTGGAATGGTATGCGCCTGTGTGTTGTTTACGTTCAAATTCCTTTTCAGCATCACTCTCAGGGAAAATATCTCCACGTTAGAGTCCGATTTCGGTTTGCAGTGCAGGTCGTACGCCGTTTCCAGCTCGGTGGCTAGGTCTTTCCACCATATTGCCGAGTCGGAAGCGTAGTGGCCTCTAGAAAAATATTTATTTTAATGACAACTGAAATTCTTCGTTTTTATAGCAGAAGAATATCAGTAATAACAAAATAAAAAAATATTGGATCAATTTTTTTTGGATTCGAATAAAAAACTTTTGAATACTTACTCTGCATAAGCCGGTTGGATAAAAAGCTTGCAGTGATATGCTATATACAAAGGCACATTGTACTCTTCGTGTGCTTCTAGCACTGCAATCCTCATGGTGGTTTCAAACGGGTTTGTGATTTCTCCCATGGGTTCCAGATTGAGTTGTTGAAGGATGGATGGTTGGTACAAAACACTTAACGCGAAACATGTCTCGTTTCTTATCTGGAAATTTAAGCATTTACAATTTTGTCGAGGGAATATTGGCACACCCTGTATAGTCTTAATTTATTTACCTGCAATGGAGAGCTGATAACCACCGTCCTCCCTAATTTTCCAATACTGTGCTTTGCTGCTAAATAGTACATTTGCGTTGGATTGACAGATTGCAGTCTTATCAATTTTTCCCAGTTTCTTTTGGAACAATTTGTTTGGATGGGGAGAAAATTCGGGACGAATATCTTCATGAAGTTCTTGTTTATTTTCTCGTAGAGTTGTGAAGTTGTTTCTGCTGGAAACTGTAGGCTTGACAACGTTTCGAAATCGTATGTGACTTCGAAATCGTCTTTTCCTTCATCGGTACAGCTACGAAATAACATTTATTTTGGTTAGTAGGTATATACACTAAACGGATAACCTGAATCGATGAATTACAGTAAATAAGTATTTACCTGTCTCTGTCGTCATAGCTGTCTAGATAATCAGGCACGAAATAGAGCCCCTTGCTTGGGCTGTTAGGAGCAGAGTCCTCGTTTTCGTATTTCTTTATGCATATGAGCCTGTTATCCTCTGGGCTCCCATTCTGCTTCTCGTAGAGCTCCACCCTGGTCAGAGGTCCGATGTCGTTAGTGAGGCTGATCAACTTCTTGTTACTACGAACAGAAATTATCTTGTTTGAGTACTGCGTCAGTAACTCGTTCATCACTTTCAAGACGTTCGGGGTTATCGTGATGTTAAACGTCTCCTTCGCGTCGAACAAAATGTAAAACGACTTGTTGAATATCATATCGTGTTCTTCTTTGGCTTTCTCGCTATCTTCGAGTTCATCGTCGCCATCGCTGGAATGTTCGCAGTCGCTGTCTTCGTTTTCGTTCCAGTCCCCTGCAGAAGAAAATCAGATTAATTAAAATTTATTCGAAACATTTTCTCAAATTCTTTCCGAAATATAAACTTTTCTTCAGAGGGGTAATCGAGGACATGAAAATAAACAATTTTCATCAAGCAATTTATGGTCTAAAATGTCAAATGTTCCAAAAAATTTATCAAGTTATTATGCGAAACTTAGGCGAACCCTGCATCATCTCATTTAATCAACTGATCAATTATTTAAAACGCAATAACTAGGTCAAGTTTAATGTTTGCACAGTGTGATGTGTCTCGCTTGCTCTTTTCGACTATAAATTGAGTTAAACTGTTTTATTTCAAAATGCCTTATTCAAATCAAGAATTAGCGGATATGGTATTAATCACTAATTACTTGTACTTATTAAAATAATAAATATGCATCCTTTTACCTGTAAATAAATCCGATATAGCAGCTGCTAGTTTTTCCATTGTCCCATCCTCGTTTTCCGAATCCGAATCATCCAAGAACGTGGAAAGACTAGTCTTCACTCTCCTGTTATTTCCGTTGTTCATGGAATTTATCGGCTCCAAATACATCATATCCTCCCCGGAATCCTCATCCTCCGTCGTGGTGACAGACCTGCTGGCTTTCTTTCTCTTATTGGCCTCAACTTTAGTCTTATGTTCGGCTGTGTCCAACATCGGTAGCGATTTATCTTGGAATATCTTGATTATAACTTCCCACGGCTTGTATTCTTTTTCATCAATCACTATGGGCTCAATGAGAGGTTCCCAACTCTGGACATTTTCGTTGAAGTAATTCGCTTGGAAGGTAAGTTCGCAGGTGCAATTAAGCAGCGAAGACCAGTCGTACAACGTCAGTTCGATGGTTGACTTTATTAGCAGCACCTGTGTTTGTTCTAATTCAAAAATCACCACGACGTCAAATTTAGGAATCAGTAGTATCTCGTGAATTGCGATCGTGTTATCTGTTTTAGCGTCTTCCATGCTGTCGCATATTTCTATGTATTCGTTCAGCTTTTTCGGTTCCCAGAGGTCTTCGACATCTGAAGATTTTGAATTCTTTCGTTTTTCCTTTTTCAAATTGTCTGCTTCGGGTACTTTAAAATGCTCCACTATGTCATTGAGGATGTCGTTGATGGAATGCACCACCTCGCTGCATAGTTTTATGTAAATCGATGATATGGCCATGGTTATTTTTTCTCCGGATTCCTCCGAAGCACTCTTGCAAAGCTCAACGTCGCACTGTTTCAGTATAATATATGGTTGTTCCGAGTACTCGCCAAGGTCGTAGAAGAGGCTATGTAGACCAGAGAGCGACATCACCAAGTTAAGTCTGTTCGCATGCATGGAATAATCTATGAGAATTTCACTTTTGGTGATGAAATATCTTTTTTTGTTCGAAGTTGTTTCCACCAAAAACATTAACTCAGGCCTGTTGATACGCACGGACAATGTGATGCTTGCAGAGAATAATTTTTGTGACAGATTGTGGCACACCTCAGCTTCGTAACCTGGATTGATTATCCCCACCTCCAAATTTTCTTTAGGAAGGCACTCTATTACGAATAAAGCTAGTTTCTCGCAGAAGGGAATCGATAAGCTTAGGCTTAGTCTACCTATTATTACGTCTGCCGATTTGTCTCCAGTCTTATTTTGGTGGAATGTAACGTCCACTATTGGGGGTTTGTTCACCGTTATGTTGCAGTTGTTGTTTTTGTTGTCGTCGACAGGAGATTGTAGAATGCTAAAAAGAAAGTAATGTTATTTGTTATATTCCTAAAAAATGAGAGAAAAATATAAACAGATGACGGCGACTGTTCATTGCATTATTGGAAAAAAATATAACAAGAAAAATGGAAAAGCAGATAGCCTGCAAAAACGAGATCTACAACAGTTTTTCTAAAATTAGACTCAGCTTTTTGATTCCTTATGTTCCTATTCATAGAGAGAGTGATACTATTAATACAGACTTCTTTTTGACTCTATAAAGACAAATGAACAAGCACATTCCAGTAGAATTAATTCAATTCATTTTTAACTTACATTTTGTCAAAAGCGTTGGCGTCTGGTCCAATTTCTTCTATGGATATCGTATCGATTGACAATTTCCCATCCAAGCTAAAATCATTGTAAACAACAAACGAAGTGTCTATTTCCAATATTTCGAGTTTGCACAAGCCGTGATTTAAATCTCTAATGGGCGAACTTAAAAGTTCTAGAGAATCGAAGAACAGCATGAGCTGCACCTCCTCTATCGTGCACTTGGCGACGACATTCTTCTGCTTTGGCTCACAGAAAAACGCTTCTAGAGTCCTGACAGTCTCGTCAGCTTCTATTAGATCGGTAGGCGATTTTATTTGATTCGGGAATAGGTCTAAGATTTTTCCCTCGCCTATGTTGTCGGTATATATTGACATAATCGTTGCTAAGTCTCTTTGCCCCAAAGTAATTTGGATGCTGTCTATAATGCTGTCGATGTCCCAGGAGTTTTGTGAAGTTTTTGCATTAGTGTACCTTTTGATGTCCATGTTTAGGCTGATCGGTTCAATCAGAGTTTCCTAAGAAAAAAAATATATATATAGCATACTGTAATTATACAGAACGATTGAATAATTTCGGGGATCGATCAGATTTTGTTCTTGAAATGTCAGGAAGTCTAAACTAATGACGTGAACCCAGAAATTGTTCAATTGCTACGGATTTCTACAAACCATTGTCTTTTAACTTGTTGCTGAACCTCACCTGCATTTCTAAAGTTGTCGTCAGCGTTATCACGCCTCTTGTGACCGTCACCCCATTCAGTTTCACTAAAATATTCTCTGTTATCTCGGTGGTGTAGTCTTTAAAGAAGTTTTCCACACGAAGTTCCCCTGTAACAATCTACCATGAAATTTCTTCCGTAAAGACTATGCTCTATTATACCTGTATCTATCACCATTACATTTGGGGAAGATGATTTTTGGGGTACCAAGAAGACCGGCCCAGACACGTTTATGGCCAAAGTTATTTTCGTGTTATTCTTTAGCGTTTCAGTTGCTGATGATAACTTGTGATGAAGCTTCGATATCATTTTCTCTAATATTGGCAAAGCGTCTAAATTGACTATAAAACGCTGAAAAATTTGAAGCTAGATAAGTACGAAAATAGCTAGCGGTCTAGAAATTCTTCAGTTATAGTTATGTTAACCATAATGATAAGTTTGGAAAATATCATGGTCAAAAATAAGAATAGAAGGATTGGTTTTAGATATACGTGTTTCGATGTTAGTGACAAATGACATATCCGTTATAGGTTATATCTCACCAGCACTCAAAACGTGCGGTTATGTCTTAGACACATAACATTCGTTCTTACCTGAAGCTGTACTACTAATTTGTACAAAAACGTGCAGTGAATTCTTCCTAGATGAAACTTAAAACTGCCGTCGACGAACATTTCGTCCATGTTCGGCGATATGTCATTGTTGTAGCTAAGATGTGTGGCGTTCCGTACATATTTAATGTCAAACACCTTATCTTCGTCTGTGTACAACACCTAAAATACATTTAACTCTAGAAATTCCAATGCATTCAAGGTATCGTAATTTTTTAATTTACGCTATTATTTGTAAGTGCGTAATACCAATTGAGGGATACCTAAGAACGGGAGGAATATTAATGGATTTAAGTAATTCTTCTGGGGCAGAAAAAAATTTTAACGAGACCCTAGAGAGAAGCAACAAAATTCGTTTCTTACCTTATTATACAATGTAACATCAGACAAATGATCTACGTTTATATTACTAAGAAAGGTCCTAAAAACAAATCTTTCATTGGCCCTGAACAAAAAGTCCATTTCCAGTCCGGATAGTTGTATGTTCACTATATCAAAGTCGGAATCACAAACTGTCACGTTTATATCGGCCAGTCTTGCGGAGTGTGAAAATTTCACAGAGCCGGGTGGTACGGGAGTATCACTTTTCTTGTGGAGGATATCTGTTACTTTATTTAGAATGTTTAATAAGTGGGTCTTCAGAAATGGGGATATTTGACTCCTAATCCTGTAAAAAATTAAAATATTTATGTAACATACCCATCTAAATCGAGAACACATAATTTTCATTTTTTGTTATTTTTTTTAGTATCATTCTGTTCTAGGAAACAATAAAATAAAAACAAAATTAGATACCACATTTCTCATATTTTTTAAGACCCTAATTTTTTTTATGTAGTCGTACCCAATAATTCCATATATACAAGTTGTTTTGAATTTCATTTTCCAAAGAATAGTTGGTGATAAAATACCTTTGAATAAGGGAAAATTTTCATATAAACAAATGTCGTCGAACGTTTCGTTATCGAGATATAATTGGAATTGAGATTGGGATTTAAAAAATATTACATTTAAGTACTTAAATATCTTTTAAAATGTTTGACGTAGATTGATTATATTTGGACTAATAGCTGAACTAATTATGGGTAAATATTTGCTGAATTAATATTAAAAAACATTTACATTTTCATTGAAATATATAAGAACCAACGGGTAGGTATGAACATATCCTTGCCAGGAAAAGATGAAGAAAGGTTGTTAGTTTAGGTTGGAAAAGTCATTAAATAAAAATAATCAACAATAAAATAATTCGGCATTGCTGCACTGCACTGCTAGGCAATTTGTCAACAACTGAAATTTATGGCCCAGTCGCCCAGTGCGGCTGTGTTTGTACGGCGTTTGCCCGCGTGCGCATTCTTTGACTGTTCGTATACATTTCTACCACCTCCACGTTTCGTTCAACCAGACCTGTATATGGGTATCGCTAAATAAATATGGGAACAAATTTTTCAAATATTTCAGTGCTTAGTTCTTGCATTGCGACCGAACCTGGTACATACTGCCGAGCTCTTTGGTCTTCAATTGAGATCGGAAAGACTATACTGTTATTAGAAATCGCAGAATTTCGACACCATTGAATAATTTGGAATTTTAATAAAATTATTCAAAAAGTATTTAATTTACAAAGGAATTATAGAACTTTTTTGTTAAAAATATAATTTTAAATGCAACGCAACTGTCGGAAATTAAAAAAAACATTGGCATAACAATTTAAAATTTTTTTTATCCCTCAGAAAATAAAAAACAATGATTATTTGGACTTTCCATAATTACATTATGATCAAAAATTAATTTCTTAAATTTTTTTGTGAAACGAATAATTTTGAAGTTTTTTCGAATCATTCAACTTAAAATTTAAAAAAATATTTACTCAAAAATGGCTAATTTTTCAAATAAAATGGAAGAAAACTTTTCCTTAGGGACACCAACAGAAATTAAATGCACTTATCAAATTTCCAAAATATTCAGTGGGGTCATAATCCGGGATTATTAGAGACATTTTCCAGTATCTCTGCCACTGATTTTTATGAATCAGCTCTTCTCAATTTTTGTCCATAACCCCAACCGATGCTAAAGATTTTAAGAAACATTTAAATAAATGTGAATTTTCAAAAATTTCAACATTCTATCTTGAAAATGAAGTTTTCTGCAATTGGCGTTTGTATGAACTTTTTTTCTTATTTGAAGTGTTGTATCACCAGTTAAAGTTATGAAAATCTCGAGGGACTGATTTATAGTATTCATTATTATTCCATTACCAAATTAAATCTTCTGGATTTAAGAGGGCTCCATAGCTAATAGGCAACCAACAATACATTTTTATAGATTTTATTACACAGTTTGTCTAAATATGAATTAATGCACAAATAACAGACTTTTCCCTATTTTAACGCAGATTTTCTATAAAATGGAGTTAGTTTGAAACCAAAATTACTTTTTGTTGTAAAGAAGTTTGTAATTTGCCCCTTTTGAACAAGCGGTATCGTAAATTACAAATTTTTTTACATCAAAAAGTAATTTGAGTTTCAAACTGACTACATTTTATAATAAATCTTCGTTAGAATGGAGGAAAGTCTGTTATTTGTGCATTAATTCATATTTAGACAAACTATGCAATAAAATCCATAAAAATGTATTGCTGGTTGCCTATTAAGGATTAAATCCTTTACCAAATAATGAAAATATGTATATGACTGTTACTATAGTAGAAAACTGTTATTATAATTACTATTTACTTATTACTCAGGTATTTCGAATATTTAAGTATCGTGTGTATGGCCTCTTGATGGAGGAGTACATATATTGTTCCAAAATTAGCCACCAACGAGGTTTCGACCCCATGAAAGTGTGTCCAGAAGTCAGGACAGCTTGCGCTCACCTATAAAACAAGAATAAAAGATTATTTTTCAGCAATGCCACAAACATAATTTGTGAGCAATGAGACGAATGTTATCGAATCTATTTTATATGATCTTAAACAAATAGCATCCATTTTTGCCATATTCGAGTAAATCACGGTGTCTATACTCGGCGGCCGAAATTATAAAGAGTGACTAATACATAATATAAAAACACTATTACCATAATGCGTATAAAATATAAAATGATTTCTATACGGTTCAATATCATTAATCTTTGTGCCGCTTGCCATGCACATCGGTAGAATCTATAATTGTGTATAGACTGAGTTACACTGAACGTCGATCTATATTTTATCTCTGTCTTTTGCACTTGGTAGGGAATAGGGAAATGCTTTTTTAGTGGGTGTAAACGGACTTGATTTGCCCGACCTGAGAAATGTCATAGCATAAGCGTATAAATTAAAAAAACACAACTGGGACGTTTTAAAATGCTGTAATAATTAAAATTGATCAAAGTGTCGGTTATAGCAAACCGTAAAAAATATTAGATGTTATGTTTTATTATGTTTTTTCAATATTTTCTATATCTTGTTGCCTTTTATGCAGACACGCCAATGGATTTTCGTTCCCGGCACACTTCATCCCCCTTACTAGTCCAAGAGCTAGCGATGAATCACTATCTATAATTTTGGCCGTCGAGTATAGTAATAAAAATAGCCAAAGATTGACTATTTTTCATTTTTGTTTTTAACTAAGTACTTACTTTTCTATACAGCACTGTGATAACGTCTTGATTGTTAGGTAATGGACTAAAGACAAGGTCTAAGTATTGACCACTAGGTGTCGTATGTAGTTTATCGGTAAGTAGAACGCTGTTGATGGACACTTGATAGGCGGGGCCATAGGTCATAAGGGCTATGTCCATCGTGAATATACCAAGGCGTATCATTAAATATTGTCTGTCTGCGCTGTCACTTGAACGCGAGAACACAACGGAGAACTGAAAATATAAGTGAATAATTAAGTAATTATTTAAAAAATAACTTTATAATCGGTTGCAGGAAATCTAGGAACAGTAACAATTAGCGAAGTACCTCATTAATGACGAATCCGAATAAAATATTAATGTTATTATTAGGCGATATATTGTCTTCCAGGCCAGGTAGGTCCACGCATCTAGCCCAAGCTTCGTTCATATCTTCATTGTGATTTCTCCTCACGCTCTTACTAAAAGTAAACATTGATGATTGGACGAAAGTCATTTCGGCAGTTACTTACTCTTTCGTCATCCTGCGTATCTTTCCATTCTCCAATTTGTACCGTTTGTACTTGGAGTAGCTGTCGGCGATAGTAATGCGGTCCTGCACTTTGCGCAGGAACTTAGAAGTCATCCGTCCCTTTATTCTATCTCTTAAGTACAACTTTGGATTCATATCGCCGTGAATTATGTTTATCCGTATTTGGTCGATATTGAAAAACTTCAACAACAGTCCGATTTTTCTCTCTGATATATTTAGCTTTAGGGTATGAAAGTTTATATTAAATTTGTACCTAAAATAAAATATGTAGTAAATTGTACTGTGCCAGTTTTGTAGGGTATTTGTTACCTTGGTATTGTCTTCAGATTGGCAACAGAAAGGGCATAAGTCGAGGAAAACGAAGTTTTAGGTATAATGTGCATTTCAGTGTCTTTCTCCTTCCTGGCATCCTTCCAGTTATCGCTAGTATCACAGAATAAGATTTGTACGTCAGTACAGTTTACGAACAGTTTGGAGTAGAGTTGTTCTTCCAGTTCCATTTGGGTAGCGTTCTCTGCTATGTAGGTTTGCTGGCAGAGCTCGGTGCTTAAGGAGTACCGGCCTAAGTCGACAACCAACAAATATTCTGCCCTTAAATTGTCAAAATTAAAAGTCAATAGGATCATCTAAAGATAGACTAAAAACTATAACTTTATATAGAGCGATTAAAAAAAAATAGTTTGGATGCAAATAGAAATTCTAAACATTCATTCTTTCATAATTAATTAAATACTATTACCAGTTCATTGGAGTAATTTTCAATAAAAAAAAAATAATAATAAAGTGTAAGAACTTACTTTAAATATGAGCTCACTTCTGGAATAACAAAGTACGGGACTTTTATATTCAAATTAATGTCCCATTTCTCTGTTAATTTCTTTTTCAGTAATGTACATATTTTTAGAGGCACGTCTTTCAAGTAATTCAGCAAATTTTCTGTAGGATTATCTTCAGTTGTAAGAAAAGTCTCCAGTTCTTCTATAGATGGCTGAAAAAAAAAAAAACAATCTCGCTTTCTAAATGGCAGTAAATTGTAAAACTATTTCTTATGTTTAATTGCATTATTTTTAAACTGCTTTATTATAGATTTACATCGTGATTATGTTTATAATTGTGAAATTATTACCAGCAAATTGTAGAAGTTCTCGAATTTTCAAAAAATATTGTACGAATATTTGAAGATAATCCTAGTCCTGCTAAAATAACGGACTTATAAACACAAATTCAACTAATATTTGAAGAAAATCATCGGTAATTTTATTATAGCACTCTCTTCTTAAGAGAGATCTATAGCAAATAGGCAACCAGCAATACATTTTTATAGATTTTATTACACAGTTTGTCTAAATATGAATTAATGCACAAATAACCGACTTTCCTCCATTCTAATGTAGATTTTCTATAAAGTGTAGTTAGTTTGGAACTCAGATTACTGTTTGCCGTAAAGAAATTTGTAATTTGCGGTTTTTAAACAAGCGGCGTCGTAAATCACAAATTTCTATACACCAAAAAGTAATTTGCGTTTCAAACCATGTCCATTTTATAGAAAATTCGCGTTAGAATGGAGGAGAGATTTGTGTATTCATTCATATTTAGACAAACTGTGTAACAAAAATCTATAAAAATGTATTGCTGGTTGCCTATTTCCTATAGAGTCTTCTTAATATTAATTTTTTTTAATCTAACATTTGTTAGAACATCTACCCCTATTATTATTTCACCACAAAATGCCAATTATTCATGAGGGTATGCCTCCTCATTTTGATTGATAACATTGACCACCCCAATCGCCAGACTTAACCCTCTTCGATTACACAGGCTGACAAAATTTTACGAAAGTCCGGAATCAGAGACCGGATCTAGTGTTCCCAAAAGATTTTGGTACGCTGATTATGAATTCGAGCTTTGAAATGTACCATCACCCTAGGTCCTCTAACCTAAAAGTGCAAAAATTACGGTTTTTCACTATATTCGGAGTCTGATTACGTGAACTGTTTTTTTTTTTCTAAAATCAAGTTAAACCATCTCAAAGTACCAGTCTTACCCTTCTAAGTGCACTTAGATCTTTTTTAATATCTTTTTTTCCCATAAAGATATGATAGATTGAATTTAGTACTTCAGCGATTTCGTTACAACATGGAAATAAACAAAATTTATCCAAAATCGAGTTATAGTTATATGTCTCTTGAGTCGCTGAATTCGACAATACCGGCGGACCTGCTCCTTAACCTCAATATTACAAGATTTTCTAACCTTAAATTACGAAAACACTACTATACAGGGTAGGAAAGTACCGATGGTCTATCTGAAGTTACGTGAGAGCGATAAAGTAAGCTATAGAAATCCATGCGATAGAGAAGGATGGCTATAATGAAGGCTTCTCTTAGTCACCGCCCGTTTCGCCCTTCCACAAATAAGATCCAATTCGTATTTGTGGAAGGGCGAAATGGGCGTTGACTATTAGACGCCTTTATTATAGCTATCCTTGTCTATCACATGGATTTCTATGGCTTACTTTATCGCTCTCACGTAACTTCTGATAGACCATCTAGACTTTCCTACACTGTATGAAGCAAATACTTATGTATACACCTTGTAACATTCGAATGATAAGCTCGTGACAGGTTCATCATAATGCGCTATAACCTACGACACGTTGTCCTATATGCGCAATAACCAGCGTTTAACCTCTTTATTAATTACATTTAAAATAAATAGTTTATGAGAATAAAGGAATATTTGTAGGAACAAGGGTGGCAGACGTGAACTGATTCCTTCGTCTCTTCATATGTATAAAGAAATATCCTTAAAAGCGTATTGCACTGGATCCCTTGACAGGCAACGATTTATTACTTTGCATCGAATATGATCCAACTACAGGTTAGAAGAAAGACTATTATTTCGAGAACCTAGGGTGATGGGCCAATTCTGAGCTTAGATTCATAATCAGCGCACCAAAATTCTTCGGGTACACTAGGTCCGGTTTCTGGTTCTGAAATTTGTCAGCCTGTATTATTTTTTATGGGCCACATATTGAAGAGGTTTCCGGCTAGAGACTCAAAGAACGATTTGATTATTTATGCTTATACTTACTTTGTTATATATGCACTCAACCGAGTCCATAGCCATATTCAATTTGTAAGCACAGTTGCAATTTTTTGGCATTTTCTCCATCTCGGCTTTAAAAAAGTATGCGGGGCTATCGCTTAAATGCTCAGACGAAATTAAGGGTATNGTACGAATATTTGAAGATAATCCTAGTCCTGCTAAAATAACGGACTTATAAACACAAATTCAACTAATATTTGAAGAAAATCATCGGTAATTTTACTATAGCACTCTCTTCTTAAGAGGGCTTTATAGCAAATAGGCAACCAGCAATACATTTTTATAGATTTTATTACACAGTTTGTCTAAATATGAATTAATGCACTAATAACAGACTTTCCCCCATTCTACTAAGTGCATTTTATAGAAAATCTGCATTAAAATGGAAGAAAGTTTGTTATTTGTGTATTAATTCATATTTAGACAAACTGTATAATAAAAATCTATAAAAATGTATTGCTGGTTGCCTATTTGCCACAGAGCCCTCTTAATCTTAATTTTTTTAATCCAACATTTATTAGAACATCTACCCCTGTTATTTCGCCACAAAATGTAAATTATTCATGATGATATGCCTCCTCATTTTTGATCGACAACATTGACCGCCCCAATCGCCAGACTTAACCCTCCCGATAATTTTTTACGGGGCGCATTGGGGACGTTTCTGGGTTAGAGACTTAAAGACCGATTTGTATATTTATGCTTATACTTACTTTGTTATATATGCACTCAACCGAGTCCATAGCCATATTCAATTTGTAAGCACAGTTGCAATTTTTTGGCATTTTCTCCATCTCGGCTTTAAAAAAGTATGCGGGGCTATCGCTTAAATGCTCAGACGAAATTAAGGGTATCAAGTGTTCCTCGTTACTTGCCCCCTCGATGCATATCCCTTCTATTTTCAGAGAGGACTTGAAGATATTCTCTTGATAATTTGGTTTCACTGAGCAAATCGTTTGGGTTAAAGTTAAGACTATTATTTCTCTGGTACCATTCGTAAGGGTTACGCTCAGGTTTCCAAGACGGAAACTGTAATTGTGCTCTGGAACAAGATACGTTATCGCATATTTCACGTACAAGTAAGATAAAAAATATTACTATACAAAAAAATTCAATTTTACGATGAGGAAAATATACAAGGTGTCCCTTGTATAAGGTATTTAAAAAAGAGGTCTAAAGAAGAAAATTTCCCGTGTTATATGTTAGAATTTGCAGTTAGACTACCCACCTATTGCTGCCTTTAGATTATCCTGCTCAGTCTCGAAGTATCCAATCTTTTCGCACAACAGAACTCGCTCAGGAGAAGGTAACATTGACCAAAAACTCTTTTCGGTGATACTTCGTGCTTGCACCTAAAACATATTAGTGCTCTACAAAATAAGTATTCAAATACAGGGTGTTGTGAAAGTCCATCAGGAAACTCTGGGAGGTGATTATGCGGATTAATGAACATTTTTTTTGAATTGTCAATTGTTTGCAAATTACAGCTTGTCAAAGTGCAATTTTTTGTATTTTTCTATTTACATAAGTTATTTAATTCAAGTTCGAAGTCACTTCTCATTTGGCACACCCACTAAGTAGATGAATCTCTGTTGGTACATAATTTTTTCTTTTATTGTTTCTCTTTTCAATAATGTTTAAACTGTTATGTCTAGCAAGAGAAAAAAGTTATGAACAAAACAAGTTTTGAGTTCTAGGTAAAGTGCCCTCTAGCGGCGCATAATGAAACTTTTCTCTGACTGGTCCAATAGAGATTCATCTACTTAGTGGATGTGCCAAATGAGGTAATTTTTTTTATTTCTATTTTATACAATTGTCTACAGATTTATAAAATCTTAACAATTTTACGTAAAAAATATTATCTTTGTCCAAATCGATATTTCCAATGGTTTTAGAGTAAATTGAGTTTGAAAATTACTCTGCTCTTTAAGTTATTAAGCCAAAAATTACAAAAATCTGTTTACCATGGCTAATAAAAGACCGACGTTGCCACAACGCTTAACAATTTAAGTTATTGATAAACTGATAACCTTCATAACTGCAATTTATTTGAAAAATCCAGTTTTGTTTGAGCCCTTTTAAGGGAATATAACTTCCTAAGGGAGCGTTTTACGGCACATATTAATAGGAACTTTTTGGCTTATTTTAATGAGTTATAAACGCAGCAGAAGTTTGAAACCCTATTTTAGAAACACCCTGTATATTCAGGGTGTACTTATACTAAATTTTTACCAAAAAACTCCTTCATATTTCCAGATTTAAAAATTTTTCCAATTTCCAGACATCTTTCATGTATGTAAATATTTAACAAGTAGGTTCTTATAATTATTTAGAACATTGCGCAGTGGGCGCCATAAAATATGCACCAAATGGGGAATATTTTTATTTATTATAATTTTATAAAATTTTAAGAATTTTTTTTCTTTGAATACCAAATAAAATTATTCTAGTCTTACAAGGTGATTTTTATAAGGAAATAAAGAAATAAATTTATTTGAAAATAGCGGAAGAAGAAATCCCCACATTTTTAGTATAATTTTCTTCTAAATTAAAAATTTATAAGTATATTTAAATTAAGCTTTAAGTTAATATTCAGCAGTATTATTAAATTTGATAATCATTATTATCATTATTAGAAAAAATAAAAACTGTTCTCTTTATAATTTCCCTTTAACTTCATTTTATAGTTTGTTTGCAAAAAGATTTGAAACCATTCCAATGTAATTTTTTTGCTTTCACTAGTATAGTTGATTTCTTTTTGAACTAATATTTTCAAGAAAATAATTTAATTTTTTCTATAGATTCAGTTGGATTTCAAATAATAGAGTTATAACTGATTATTCTGTCATTAATTGAGCTTACCATTAGCCTGGCCTGTTGCCTAGCGATAACAACATTGATAATAGACAAATTGTCCTCATACTTCTGCAGATCAAGCTTCAGCTCGGTGTCATTAGGATTTAAGATGATTTGCTTGTATGTTTCCATGTAGTCTTTGTAGTGCTGCCTGACTCTCCTTATTCTACTCCATGTGTAAGGTTTAACCCTTTGTTCCAGGAGAGCGTACGAAGCGTACCTCCACCAAATCTTCTGGTTCTCCATAATCTTCTCTTTAGGCCTTATTTCTAGGAACTGCCAACTAATCAACATCCGCTCCATGCAGTTAGCAACGGCTAGTATGGAGTCGTACTGTTCCTTCGAAATTTGAACGTTGCAGTCTTGTACCACGATGTCTGTGTTTAGTTTAGTAGTTTGTCCAGTTGCGGATTTGTTAATTACCATTTTGATTTTTGACGTCATTGGATTCAATACTGAAAGAAAATATTAAATTTTGTTACATACTTTTGATGAATTAATTTTTTCGTGAAAACGCCGGGAATGCCATGAAATTCGATAACGAACAGCCTCACATAATACTAAAACAACATATGTAACGTGTCAACAGTGCTGAATCGCTCAAATCTGGAAAGGCAAAATGTCAAAATGATATCGAAGAGCAGCCTCTAAGAATTCGCTGAACCACCATTCAACGCGATCGAACGTAGACTCTGATTCTTGCGTCCATAACCAAACGTGTGTACACGAACCGAATTTTTACCCAACATAGACGTATAGGAAATATAAATACACGGTATGGTGTTGGTATATTTTGATGTTGCATTGTCTTGTGGCGAGCTAAATTAAATCTACTTGCAACCATAGATAATAGACTTGCAACTTACCAAAATCGAATTCTTCTCCATTGAGGGAGTAATTCTGGAGACTTGACGTCATCGCGTTCCTCCACTGGTAGTACTGCGCTGGTAAATCCCATTTTTTAACCGTTGCGTTAGAATTCCAGTAAATGGAGAACGCTTCAATTTTCAGGAGATAATGGCAGATGTCGGAATGGCTGTCGTACCTCGTAGGTTTCCATTTACTGAAAAATATTTAAAGGTGCTTAAACATTGGATAATCCGGGTAATGTGCGCAGTTGTTTGAGGATACATCAACCTATTCAGCGGCGGGGTATGAAAGTTACGAAATTAAATTAAAAAACAGTTTCCAGTCAAAAACCCCATTTAAATAAAAACAATACCCGCGATAATTTGTGTGTAAATACGTACCTGTTGGTAGTTTCCGCTGTAATGCTACCAATGCACAATCCCGCCGCCAGTGGCGTCTTCCAGCTGTCCACATCTTCGTATCTAACATGGACGTTGACAATATTTACTTGCAGGTAATTCAGGATGTTCGAGACCAAGTGCTCGGAAAAAGTCGACGGCCCCCCCAAGATCTGACTGTCGGTGTCTAAATCGGCAAGCGTCTTTTTCTTCGCGGCTCTAGTGAGTCGTTTGTTTTTCTCTGCGTCGAACGGATCGTTGGTGACTATAGGGCCGACGACGATGTGCAGATCTTCTATGTTAACCACGATGGGCTGGCTCCAGAGGGAGGTCCATGGTATTTGCAAGCGGACTTTTCCTATAGTGCCCGCTTTTATTTCAATCGGCAATTTCAATTCATACTGAAAAAAAACTCGTTTTAGTTCGTTTTGCACAGAAAAAAATATTTGACTTAAGTTAAGTTAAAGTTAATAAAATAAGTACGTATTAAATTTTTTTAACTTTAATCAATATTTTTTTGTAACTTCTAGTTAATATTATTTCTTTCTTACTTTGTAACTCAGAAACAGGAAACCGAGGCTATGTCTATGGTTTAACACAATACTAATAAATGTATAAACATTGTAAACTCCAAACTTTATAATAAAAAATTGCTTAATATTGCCATAAATTAATTTTATTTTATAATCGGTTTATAAAAATTGAATTTTAATTTTATTACTTTTCAAAACGACTAGAATAGAAAATTAAATATGTATTACAGGTGTATTTTTAGATAACAGCAATGAAAAAATGACTTGAAGTATAATATACCTGTGACTATTAGACGTAAGACTATAATTATACTTATGAGTCACACTTTAATGGTGATAGAAGCTTCATTAATATTTCTACTTCAATGCATATTTTAAAATTCTATCAATACTTTTAATATATTAAAAGTTTAAGAAATTAAATCAACAAAGTTGTATTATAAGTTTAATTTTAATTAAATTTACCGTTTAAAAAAAACCGTTTTGTCAATAACGGAAAAAAACAGTTTTGTTTGAGCCCTTTTAAGGGCATATAACTTCCTAAGGGTGCGTTTTAGGGCACATGTTAATAGGAACTTTTTGGCTTATTTTAATGAATTATAAACGCAGCAGAAGTTTGGAACCCTATTTTAGAAACACCCTGTATATTAGAAACCAGATCAATAAATTCAAATGATCGTTTTTGTTGATAGAAAGAATTAAATGAATTGAAAATTTTTGCATTTGGTATAAATAAAGTCAGTTTTGACTTTTGATTAAACAATTAGATGTTTCCACTGATAATTGTTCGTAGATGCTCAAATTAATGCAGTAAATTAAAAATGCTGCTTGAGATCAAATAAAACAAGTACTTTTAATAAAAATGTTCGAAGAAAGCAAAATACCAGAATGGCATTGGTATTTCTACAAGCTTAATCCGTAACGTCTATTTCACATTATTAATTCTTATGATTAGTTATGACTTCGTTTCCTAATTTTTGAAGTGACGGAAAACTATGAACAACAAACGCATTTTGTATTACCTCTGCAAAATATCTGGTGAAGCTTTAAGACTAAATTATTTTAATTGTAATCCCACCATAAAGTTTAATGGGACAATGATAATACTAAAATTATAAGCGAGTCCTTTATCTAGACTGAATTGATCCATATTACTACTAAATTGGCTTCACTGGAGCGATAGGAACTAATCTAATTTATGAATATTCGTGATTTATCAAACAGGAATGGTTACCCTAATATAATGCACGAAATCACGTGAACCGAACAGCGGCGTTTCTTTAAAAATTAAGAGAATAATTTCTCAGTTATCACTGCCAACTGTACAAATACACTAGGTGAGTCAAGTCAATCTTTAACAGTCGATAGAAGACCTAGCTAAGAAAAAAAAATTGAATGAACATAGGTCGTAGAATGCTTCTTACAGAGCATTGGATTTAAAAACAATACCTTTATTTATGTAGGTTATACATTAAACATGATTTAATCTTCTCAAATCAAAAAAAAAATAAAAATTTTGGCGTAGCAGTTTTAATTTTTTTATTAAAGGGTTACTATCGTTTAGGAAATTAAAAGTTCCAACGTCACTGATTTTATTGGATTTATGATAATTAGTGTATTTAAAATTGTGTTTCCATCATTTTCAAATAAAATCGAAGGTATATTTTTGTCAGAAATACTTACCCATTGAAATTAAAAGCACATATCTTTCCAAGATTTTTGATATTTCAGTCACTGGTTGACATATTTGTAAATCAATTCGATGAATTTTTGCCCATAATTATTAAAACCTAGCTCAGTTATAGAGCCTGGTATGGTTCCAAAATGCCCAAGAGGACGGGTGGAATATATGGACATAGACCTAGATGGAGTCTCTCTACAGTCTAAAGAGGTTTCCCACTGTGTTTCAAGCAGAAATTTTCCAAAAAGGCGTAGTAACTTTCTTTTTTAAATGTGTGTTTTAATTGGCTATACAATCACACTTTTTATAATTAAATTATGCATAGTTTTGGAGATAACCTAAATGTTTATAAAAAAAGTGTTAAAAAATACCATTTTTTAATGTAAAAATCAAAATTCCATTTAAATACAAAGCTAAGTTAGGTTTCAAGCTTTAAAATTCGACTTTCTAAACCCTTTTTTGTTAATAACTTTCGGAGAGAGAGAAGGTTAAAGTTATGCGTTTTTGCTCTTGACAGGGAAAAAGATAGAATTTTGCAAAAATTATTGGTCCCACAGCGCCCATCTTTTTTTAAGTTTTATTAATCTAGTGACGCACATTAAAAGTTATTTGAAAATATATTCTTCTTATTTTCAATATTATATATCCGGAAACAAACAATTCTACGACGATTCATAGATTGAAGTCTTCTATCAGCTGTTAAAGTTTGATTACAAACTCTTACTCACCCTATATTATAAGTATACAGGTTCGGAAAGTACCGATGGTCGATCTGCCGTTACGTGAGAGCGATAAAGTAAGTCATAGAAATCCGTGCGATTGAGAAAGATGGCTATAATGAAGGTGTCTAATAGTCACCGCCCATTTCGCCCTTCCACAAATAAGATCCACTTCTTATAAACGGGCGGTGACTATGAGACGCCTTCATTATAGCCATCCTTCTTTATCGCATGGATTTCTATGTTTTACTTTATCACTCTCACTTAACCTCAGATAGACCATCGGTACTTTCCTACTCTGTATATACTTATATCTTCACCAAAAAGATGAAAATTTAAACTGCAAAGGTCTCAAAAATTTATACATTTAAATAGAAAATCTAGTTTGATGTTGGCTAAAAGTGAGAAAAAATGGAATACTTAATGAACTATTTTTTAATTCATTTTAAAAGTAGATTTTGTCCTAGCTTCTAGAATCCTTGCAAATTATAGCATCTATATTTTTTACACCAACTGAAAACTGAAGAAAAAATTTAAAATATTATATTAAAATAATTTCTGTCATCCATTAAAAATTGTTCAAAGAGTAGGTATAATGTTTCAACTAGTAACTTTTTAATCAGTAAACGTTGAAGTCACGCCATTGCTTCAGTTACTAGTTCATTGTATGTCCCAATGTGAGTCCTGACGTATTTCAGGCAAGTTATTCATCGAATGGAATATGCATAAATAGTTTAATAATATTTTCGTGGAAACTTTTTTGTGGTGAAGTGTACTTGATGAAATTGAAAACCCAGAGATTTTCCAAATAAATTCAAAATGTTATAGAAGAATATCATCTTTTATTATTTCCAATAATTGTCATTTTTGTTAATAATTACGATGTATAATACAAGGAAATAAATCGTTTTTATTATTATCTCTTGTAATTTAATTGTTAAGACAGTAAATTTAATATTCAAGCAAAATTACATTACAATGAGTGGATATTAGGGTTCTGCTATTAATAAAATTAAGTATTTAGAAACCACAAAACTTATTCGGAATAGGTGTTAATCTTCGTTATTGATTTGATTACCTAAGAGACCTCATAAGAATGATCTGATTGGGAAAGCCAAAGTCAAATTGATTTTCTCTAACAAACTAGAGTTTTAGAATGTGAAGAGATCACGGTAAGCAGCTTTCCTAGAAGCGGTAGATAATTACATCCTTTTCTTGAAAAAAATGTCATATCGCGACGAAGGAATCAGTCAAGAATTAATTTTATGTAACTATTTATTTACTTATTGTTAGTTATGTCACCAGCTAAAGTTTCACTAATCTACATCATAAATCTTCGAGATAATTGATTAGATAAGTTATTATTCAAAACCTTTGACTCCTTTTATCTTAAAAAAGAACCATTTTCGATTATGGAAACTTTTCGCTTCTTGCAGCTAAACCCTTTTTACGCCTTTTTCAACACCCTGTATGCGGCCCTTGACGAGCTCTGTCTTAATATTGTCACAGTCTTTGCAGTTTTACTTTACGAAAGGTCAAAAGGAAATGGTCCAAATGTATGAGCAATTTTGTCCAATGTCCAATGTCAGTTGTTCAAAAATATATACTTTCCAAAATACAAGGCGCTGCATACGGATTTCCAGCGTTTCGAATGTGGTAATTGTGAAAATTGTTAATACCATCCCTTGAGAAAGCTACTGACGCTACTAATTAAATCAGAGTTGATAATCACGTGGTAAAGGAGAATATTCTCAAATATTATTTATTGACAAGTTATTGTATTATTTTTAATTAAATATTTTTCTCCAGAACTAATCTCAAAAAGAAAAATGCTAACAGACATCTTATGTCAAGTAATCAGAGGGAATTGCAAAAAGTATGGACACAATTAAAAATATCAGAGGCGTGCATATTATTCTTTAAAACAATTAAATACTATTGTCTATATTAGTCCGCGGGCCCACGTATAAAGAAAAAAATGATTACCAGCAAGCTGTAACTTTGCGTGCAGCTTAAGTTTGACGACTCTCCCAAGATTTGACTATGAGGAAAATTCAACAGTGGTAAGTTTTCCCGTGATTTTCAGGAAAACATGTCAATCTGGCATAAATATGGAATGTTATGACCAGCACCTTTTTTTAAAGTTTAAATGAAAGATATATTTTTTTTAAACCCCCCAAAAAATTTGTCCGACAAAAATGTTGGAATTTTGAGTTTGTCCCCACCCCAAATATGTCGATTTGGTGACATTATGGTTGGTGACAACCAGCAAGCTAATTTTTCTGGGAGGGTTTGGTAATAAGAATTGAAATGAAAGTATCTTATTGTCCGACAAAATTCTTGAGAAGTTTTTGCAGTCCGACGCCCCGAAGATGTCGATTTAACGACAACATGGTTGGTGATAACCAGCAATCTGGTTTTGATTTTTTTCT